ACATCAAAGTTTTGCACTAGACCCACAGATTTTAAATTTTATGAGCAAAGTCCAGTCATGACTATGTATCTAATTATGATTCTAACTACTGAACATATAGATCCTGTTTTTTATAAAACAATCTCAAATCCCATGATAAAATACATAAAATGATTTCTTCTCTCTCAAAAGCACAGCTGTTTAGTTAGCAAATAAAAAATGATGAGATGGCTGATATGTCATTCACACAAATTCAGAAAAAATTACTGCATCATTTCAAAAAGTATTTGTAGAAACCTTAAAATCTGTACCCCGACCAATATGCGGAAAAAGAAAAATATTTGTACGAGGGCAGCTGTATAACGCTTAAAGCTATAAGAAGCATTGTATATTAAACTAACTGACAAGCTCTAACTGGTTATCCATCACATTCCTGAATCAGTATCATTTCAAACAGTGACAATCTGCTCACACATCAATAAGTTTATGCTCGGTGGATAAAAGAATAACCCAAACACTGGGAAAATAACGATACATACCACAAGGTTAATACAAAGCACAAGGCAGAAAGTACTATAGTAACAAGGTAGTAAGGAACAAAAGAGATAGAGGGCATGGCACAGAGAATATAGCATGTGACACTTGAAACAAGCTGTAATAAGCTGCGATCTTCAAAGGCGCAAAAATGATAGGTTCTACAGTAAAAATGTATTTTAAAAAAATGCAACATGATACAGCTGCCGGCAGGACTGTAGGAGTTATTTACAAGAGCAGAAAAAAAAAAATAAGACAAGATGATCTGTTGATTCTGAGACTATTCTGGCAACTTTGGAAGGAGTGGCCAGTTGATCTGCATCTTTCTAAATAACTGTGGAATACAATGATCAAGAGAACTGAGATAAGGAGAGACCTGAAAAGCAGGATCCAGACCCCCCCCCCCCCGGTTGAAAGTTGTTGCAAACACGCAGATGAGGAAGTTGATACGAGAATATGCAAGCTGTGCAACAGGAACAGAAAAGGATTAGGTTCATGATTCAAGATTGGAAAGCCTAATTGGATATGGAAGAGTAAAGCTAAAAATACTTCCTAGCGTTTTCAGCTCTAAGTAATATGAAAAGAAATAAACCATTAATAGATTTCAATCGATCTTTGTATGCCAGACATTTATACCACGTTCGTCTTGGCAAGCCAATTAAAAGATAGATATTGATCATTTTGCAAACAGCTTTAATAATGGCTATGGAGATGACAATGACGAGCTACATTCTCAAGCTTTATATAGACAAAGCATATATAATGTCAAGTGTGTTTCTATAGGAAAGAGGAGACGGGATAACTGACAAAGTAGAAAAAGCAAAACAAAACAAGACAAGGGAGTGTTCAGGTACCCCATGAATATGCTAGAACTGATAAGATAATTAATCAAATCTGTGCACTCAAAGTGTTAAAACAGCACAGAGAAAGCCAACCCTAAAAGCGTAAAATCAAAAAAGAGTGAATGAAACCAGCCAAAAGATTGAAATAAAAGTTTACCATGGAACATCTAGAAATAAGTCGTAAAAGAACTAAAATTCAAGCTGGGCCTGTAAACAAAGTCATAGAGCCAAACTATTTGAGGGTGGCAGATGAAGCGTGACGACAATCTGCGTCCCAAAGAAAAATAATAACATAGGCGGACAAAGTATGCCAGAAAATTGTATAGACAGAAGTTGGTAAATAGG